GTGACTGATGAAAGTATTGACAAAGCTTTGATAGCTAAAAAAAATATAATACAAAAAAATTTGGAAAAAATAAAAATATTATTATTATTTAAATCTAAAAAAGATTTATGACAAACAATAACTATTTGTGTGCAAAACTTTTCAAAGAAAGATTAGCATCATTTTTATGTTACATATCTTCATAATTCTTCAACATTATTATCAAAACGATGCAAACCTAATGTTGTTGAAGATAAATCATATGACTTGCATTCATTTTATTTTAAAGCAAAAAAAAAAAAAATAAATGACCATTGCAAAAGATAAATTCAGATCTCATATCAAAAAAGAATAAACTGGCATCTTCAAATTCGAAATGCAATAAGAAAAAGGCAATATGTATTGATAAAGCTGTTTTTTGTATAAGACAAAAAATCAAATAACTTCAGAATGAAATTCAATTAAGTTTTTAATTGATGAATTTGACATGATTATTATTCCTTTTGAGGTATTAAACATAGTAAACAGAAAGACACAAAAAATAACAAGATCTGTTAAAAAGATGCTTAGTTGGGCTCATTATAAGTTTCAACAAAGGTTAATTTCAAAAGCTGAAGAGAATGGAGTTCATGTGGTAATTCTAAATGAAGCTTACACGTCAAAGACATGTAGTTGGTGTGGAAATATTCAGAATATTAGAGGATCAGAAACATATATAATGTGGCATAAAAATAGACAGAGATGTTAATGGCGCCCGAGGAATATTTCTTCGGGCTTTGCTTGATGGAGCCATGATCTTGTCATAAGACATCTTCATGCAGGAAATAGTAACTTTACTTAGTAATACTTAGTATTGATTATTATTGATGTGTTACAATCCATCCGACAGACAAAAAACACGAAACTATGCGTGTCAGAAATGCTATTTTACTATATATCTACTAATCTCCTAGCCTGTCTAACTCTAACCCTAAAAATCGGAAAACCGGAAAGTGCCAGACTTTAGACGTAGAAACCGCAGCTTAATCTAGAAAGGAAAAAACAAGTTTTTTATTCTTATTATGTCACGATTTTGTCACAACTTTTTTGCTCAAATTGAAAAGAAATTATTGAGATATTGGTTAAATTTCGCATTAATTTTATTGGTCAACGGTCACGGGGCAACAAATTTTTAACTGATATAAACAAGCCACAAATAATTCGAATCAACAATTTATACCAGAATTTATTTTGCAAAGTACCCTTTTTCCTGAAACTTAGCCTCGTGAGTCCGTTTTTCTGGGTATTTACTAACCTCTATTATATTCATTCTAACTTATGTTTATTTTTGTTAGCCATCAATTCTTTAATTTGCACTTTAATATTCATGCATCCACGTTATTTATTTGAAATATTATAGGTTAAATATTTGCTCCATAGATACTGCGGATAAAATGTTCTACAAAAATTCGATATTCTTCGTCCTTGTGCTTAGCCTCTTTCTTTGCTTTTATTTTATGATTTGTTTCGATTATGGGACTTCTTCACAAAATGATATAATATCCAAGAGCATGAACTATGTAAGAAACGGCAACAATAAATTAGAATATAGTGACGCTTTAATTCGAGCTGTTGTTGCCGACCAAGTTAAAACATTGTGCGCGGCCGAAGTCCAAAAAAAGATTCTATCACAGAATAAAGAAGTGACGAGATATCGAAACAATCCTGCAGTAGAAAATATTGTGGTCAATATGGTACGGCAAGAAGTCCGGAAAGCTGTTGAAGAAATGCTATATATATATTCGCAAGACAAATTAAACAAAGCAGATTTTGCCCTATCTTCAGGTGGCGCTAAGATTATAAGTCCACTAACTTCCCCAACCTATGAACAATGGCCGACACAGTGGTACAAAATAATAATGGCATCCATAACCGGTTACGGTATTACACGAGGTAAACCTCCTGTCACAGCTATTCAACCCGATACCCACGTTGGACAATGCTGGCCTTTTTCCGGGCAACAAGGACAATTGGCAGTGTTGTTGAGCCGCCAGGTTTACGTGACGGCGGTAACTTATGATCATGTTAGCAAAACTGTTGCAATGGGCATAACAAGTGCTCCAAAAGAATTCGAAATTTGGGGATTCGCTGACGATGAACCTGATATAGAATTTGTAAAGTCGGAAAACGCAGAAAACAATCGTCAAGATGATGATGCTGTAATCAACAAAAAACCAAGTCACACTACCAATGACCCGGACACAGATTCTAACCATTTACAATTGACAGGTTTGGACCTGAAGCTGGGTTCATCGTCAAGCCACTTGTTTTTGGGCCAATTTGTATACGATATAGAGGGCTCACCTATTCAAACCTTCGAAGTCAAAGCTACAGCTAAGCCTATTCGTGCTATAATTATGAAGGTGAATAGTAATTGGGACAATCCAGAATACACATGCTTATATCGATTCCGTGTTCATGGTGTTCATTTTACACCAACTTTTGATAAAAAATATTAATAAACATAACTTTCTTCACCTTGAAACTATATAATAAATTAATTATAAATTAATGTGGCTGCTTAAGCTGGGATTTTAACTTATTTTTATATTAAATTTAAAAATTTTTAAGGCCTTTTTTTAGCTTTTTTTTTTTTTTAGGATTAGATAAGGGTTTAGGGGTAGTTTTATTAATAAAAAAAGTATAGGTGAACTTTAGTAGGTATTATAGGTTCAAACAGAGAAACCCAAATCCCAGCATAAGCTGTCACAATTAATTAGTATTTTTTTTTTAAGATAATGAATCTGTACTTAGCTCGTTCATTAATTATCTTCTTTTATAGTACACATGTGCGCTGTTTTATAAAGAGAATGATATAAATAACGTATATGGGACATTTCTAACACTCGATAAAGTTAGGAACCGGTTTAATACGATTTTAAAAATTAAAAGTCACGCGTATTTCATATCGTCTGATCGAATGTATAAGTAGTATTGGTCGCGAATGATGCCGAAATTTGGAAAAAATAAGCCATACCCAAATCCACCCATATTCTTATTGACTCTAACCCTAAATCCTAGCCTAGCCCTAAAAAAAGGCTAAAAGATATACCTCAAATTTCATATCATCCGATTTTAGCATCATCCACGACCAGTGTTGTTATTTGGAATATGTTCGGACATAGTCCAATTTTATATGTCCAATTAACAAATTACTATGTTCATTAATTAGTCCAAATTACAACACTATCCATGACAATATTTAAAAAATTTATCTACATAATTTGTCACACCTAGTACTGTAGGTAGCCTCTACGTAAACTTCCTCGTATCGTTCCCTCGTCAGAATGGGATAAAATAAAAATCGATCACTATTTACCATAAGATCGTAATAATATAAATCTTATAAACTCCGTAGGACCTTCAGCGCTTGTACACCTATAATGGAGAACTATAATGAATAGTTGAGTAATAGCAGGAGATAAATACACTAATCTGCCCACGCCAAATAAGTGAATAGATCTTTTAAATATCATAAGGTTGCAATTTACAAAGTTTATATATAAACATCGCCAAGCGAAAACAAGGAAGTCCAAATATAGAATTATAATAATCAGTATTTAGACTCTAGTTTCACTTGGCGGTACCTATAAATTTCATACCTAATCATGCATGTGCATCGATATTAAGTATAAATTATGGACCAACCTGCGGACAATAAGCACTCAAGTACGAGCCAAAAGAGCCATCCTTTTTGAGTGATTCAAAGCTCGACTAAGATCGTGGCTACTGGATTATTTAATAACTTACAAATTGCAGATAATGCAGAACTCATAGGTAAACTAAGTAGTTTATATATGACTCGTTGCAACTTCAATTAGTATGTTTACTAAGCAAACAACACAATTCGTTCACTTCCGCTGCTCTTAAAATTGGCACTTGGTCCCGTTTGCTATAATGTTAATCTACCTAGAATGACCTATAAAATATGGCTGTTAAAATGTTATAGGTACGTATAACTTTAAATAGTTTTAAACAGATTTTTTAATCTACTTTCCGGTAATCAAATAACCTTTTACACCAATGTTCAAGCAGGTACAACAACAGAAAGGCATAAAGAAATCGAATTGTACTTATTGTCTTTTCTTTAAGATATATTAATGAGTGAAACGATATCTAATACTACAGCAGACCACTTAAAGATTTCGACATAACGATAAGATTGCATATGAATCTATATTTGGCATGCAGCGTTGTCACGGGACAGTTTGTAAATTTAACCGGAATCGAGTATCAATATGGGTGCCGCCAAGAGAAAACCAGGAATTCTAAAAATAGACTTCCATCCACAGCGAAGTTGCGGGGTTTTTTAATCGGTCAATGTAATAACATCGTGTTATTACATTGACCGATTAAAAAACCCCGCAACTTCGCTGTGGATGGAAGTCTATTTTTAGAATTCCTGGTTTTCTCTTGGCGTCACCCATATGTAAAAGGTTTACTTAGCCAAAAAAAACGTTTTTTTTTTATTGGAAGTTAACTACACTTAATTAACTTCCGACGACTTTTACTATATATTAGATTTACTGGTTTTTTTTTTTTTTAAACGCGAATTGGCATACTTTATTATTAACAGATTCTATAAATACGTACAAGTAGTAAAATCTAGCTATTTACAATTAAATATTAATATTTAAAAATCTGGCTAATTTTCTCTTTGTTTTGTCTTCTTGGGTTCTGTTTAGAACCTTCGATTATATTCTCCGGTACCATATTATCACTCCAAATCTCATATATAATCGTAATATGGAGCCAAATTGCTGTTGTTTTTTTTTCTGGTTCTTGATATTTGAGGCTGTAAAAACTTCTCTAACATTAAAAGGGGATTTCTTCCGGGTTTTGAAAAACCTGTATCCTCTTTTCCAGATTTTCTGGCTTGTTTCACATCTATTACAAAATATTTTATCATTTGCCTTTCATTTGGGCAATTGGGCAGCTTTTATCAATATTCTTGTCAATATACAATACATTAGCTAGTAGCCTAATGGAAGAGTATGGTTATGTAGTCTTCAAAAGATATCTTTCTTTTTGTTTAGTGTTTCTTTACTTGTAACTGCTTGGCTAATCCGATGAGTTTTACCACACTATTTTTCAAATTTCCTTATTTGGGATGATTGTTGATTATCGGATAATCACGTGATGTACTATTTTTTAATTGCAATCTGGCACACACAACAGGTTTAGGTTTTTTATCTTTAACGACATACATATGTAAATACTCTGTTTTTTTTTTCTTTGAACTCTTCTAAGATTTTTATACTGTGACAAAAGTTTTTTTTTTTTTTTTTCTTTTTTTCTTTCTTTCTTTTTTTTTTTTTCTTTAAATCTATGAAGTTTCTACTTTAGCATTAAAGAATTTTATATTGTGACAAAGGTTTTTTTTCTTTTAATACATATCCATAATTTTAAATAAGTCATAGTTCTATGATATTAAATAAGTCATAGTATTAAGAATATGCTGTTTAGATAGTAGTGTTGACATATTTTTTGATATTTTTAAAATTTTTTTTTTTTGATAAATTGTTGTGAATTTCTTTGAAGAATGACCATTAACAACGCTAAAGATTTAAACGATAAGGAAAATCAAGCAATAGTATTAAAGATATGTAAAGTTTTGATTTAACAGTTCAAACAAAACTTTTGTATTGACAATATACAATACTATATTTAGGATTCACATTATACATTGTCGCGTTTTATATCTGAACAAAGACAGCACTTCTTTTTAATGTTAACCAGTCATTTGAGGTATAAAAACAAGATTTTGATAAAGAATGGTAGCCTTTTGTCACCAATGTTTGGACAATATACAACTCTAAAAAACATAAAAATGGTAACTCATAGGTAGCATATGTATGCCGTTTTACTAAACATAATTCGTCAAGTGCTCGTAATAAGAATGTTCCAAGTAAAAAGCATAGAAAAACAAAAGTCCATTTTTCAGACCTGTATCATGCAAAAATCAGGGTTTTACAGTTCATAAATAAGCAAAAAATACTCGTTGAATGATATTTAAATAGCTCTGATCACATGTATACTATTGAAGAAAGTGAGAAGTTGAAATGTTCTCAGCTTGTTCATGGCTTGGTCAAGAAAGAAGCAATTAAAAATTACTCAGCTCCAGCTATTGTCAATGCAATCAAGAAGTATAGAACTAAGAGGTTGGAAATCAGCACTAGTATAAAAGAATTAAAGCAAATGGAGATTTATAATATTAAGAGAAAGGTTTTTGGACCCCAGAATTCATATTTTGTAGGCAACAGAAATTTAGAGTTGGACATTGAGAAATCTATTCTTTTTTTAAAAAAAGAAGGATATCTGGTAGAACGTTATAGTCAGTTTGCTCAGGGTTTCACTTTTGCCACCCAGATTAGCTTGAGAAGCTTCGCTATTTTGAGTGATTAATGTTAATAAATATTATGCATAAAACAAACAGATATGATTGGAGGTTGTTTATATTATATATTTGGAACAATCATAGCTCTTGAGACGTTGGTGTACATTTTTTCGTTAGTGATAAAACTAGTGAGATGGTCGCAGAAGCTCTGCAAATAAGCTAGCATTTTAAAAGTTCTTGAGTTCTCTATTACTTTCTTGCAGATCAAAGTAATATTGAAGCTAGTAGTATTTTTAGAACTTTTCCAGGTTTGCTTCAGAGTGAGCAGGTATACAATGTGCTTTTTTGTACTATCCATGTAGTTCGCACTTGGATAAACAGGATTTATGAACTAAAGGTTCAGAGTAAAATGATACATGCAATACATAAAGTAACAAGAACTGGATGTAATAAACTTATTCAGGAGGCAATTAATAAATGTGAAGTTCCTGATGTTAAATGATACATATTACAGAATTACGTTGAAAATACAAATCAGTGGGCCCTTTGAGCTCAACAGCATTTACCCCTTTTTCTGCAAGTAATCTCAACAAATACTATTAAATCGTATTATAGCAAATTGAAAAGAATGACCATCTCTTATCACAGGTTAATAGGTAATTTCTGTAAGATTTTTTTTAATTTATTTTTATTTTTTATTTAAAGTTTACTAATGACCAGCCTGGATGATCTTATTAAAAATCATCTACTATATAAATTAGATAAATCACATGATTATAAGAAAACAAATGTGCATAAGCATATAATCATAACCCCCTATATATTTGCAAACCTTCGACTGTTTTTACTAATCAGGTCCCAGCAAAAGAACTTTGTTAAAAGACAATATAAACATATCGTATTTCACTTTATTAACACGCACTGTAATAGTAAATGATGTTCATATGAGAACATCGTTGTATAATATTTATGACTGTACTACGTAGTAGTGATCATTTTAAACATCACTGCGCAACAACCAACTTCAAAATGATTAATCCGCTAATATTAACAACTCTGACCCTAACAACTCTAAACCTAATAACCCTAATTTTAACTTTTTATACTAGAAAATCACAGCAA